GGCATATGTTGTGAAGCTAAATTTGGTGGTGGTCTAGGTTGTGGTGAAGTTTGATAAGGTTGTAGTTGATGTACTTGTGGCGGTTGAAATGTGGTTGGGGGTTGTAGTTGGTGTTGGTAGTGGGGTAGTGGATAAGTGTAAGGTGTATTGTAACAAGCATCAACAGACACAACTTGGCTTGGCATAGTATAAGCATCATAATCTCCACTTGGACTAGGAGGACTTGTGAATTGATTTGCACTCCAAACTCCTCTTCCAATATCTTGCCTTGCCAACAACTTATCCTCAAAGTATTTAGGAATGAAGGAATGCCCCTTTCCATTTAGATCAACCACATACCTATTCCACTTTACATCAATTGGAAGATTATGATCAAGAAACCAAGGTTTTCCCATCGTATATGGCAATACTTCATAGGGTATACATCACACCAAACCACTTCTTTAAAGTCTCCTTTGGTTATAGTAACCATCACACCTCTATCCACCCACTCACCCCGAAATTTATACAACTCAATCCCAACCATTCAACAAAGGAAGAAGCAATAAAGTTGGTCGCATAGTGAGTACTTATAGCAACCAAACAACCCTCATAGCCTTCTACATTCGCTACATAATGCCTCAAATTTATCTTTCTCCCACTTTCATTATAAAAGATATCAACACTTGAAGAAGCACAATTAGTTTCATAAGAAGAACCCACATAACCATCCATGTCTCCCTTATGACTCCTTGTACCTACAAAAGAAAACTTAAAGCAAGAAAGTTGGTTAGTCAAAAATAGGACCTCACAATTCACTCCCTTAGTGTATCACTCGATATATATGTCACTCAACACTCGTGTTTTCACTCAAAGGTCAAAAGCGACCTCACTCAATTGAACTCACCACTCAAGCCTTTTTCCACACAAGGGTGTCTAAAAGTTCTCTTCATAACCAACGTTCTCCAATCAATCCAAGTAGGTAATCAAGTATCGGTTCGGAATGGAAGGTATGCGACACCAAAGAAAGCACAATTAAAAACTAACGGACTTGAGCCAAACAATTCACAACGAAAAATAAGAGAAAAGCACGAAAGAAATGGCACGAAATAAAATAAAGCACACAAAGAAACTAGAAATAAACTCAATATGAACTAGTATCAAGTTAATCTAGTTGAGATTTTAGTTTACCACAAATTGGAAAGAAAGAAATGAAAAGAAACTACAAAAGTAGACACTTCTTCAAATTTTGGCCATATTCGCAAAAAAAGGACAGATCTGTAAAATTGGTCATATTTGCAAAGAATGGCCAAATCTGTAATCATAGTTAGACTTGCAATATTGCGCAGGTTCACAGTACTGGCAGATTTCTTGTACACAAACTGGTGCAGCCATTCAGAAGTAGACTTAAACTATGCAGACTTCTCAAGAATAGACCAAGCAACTCTCAGACACAAACTGCCCAAACCTGAGCTTTTTAACTAGTGCAGAACTAACTGTAAAGTGCAGAAATTGCAGCTTGAGTAGTGCAGTTTTGGCAGTGCAGAAATCCGTCTAAAATTGCAGGTGCACTGGTATCAATCTGTAGGAAAACTGGAGCTAAAACTTGTGCAGAAACATCAGCTCAATAGTGCAGAAAGAGCGCAGATTCCAAGCTAAAACTGTGCATAAACTGGACAGAAACTGCAGTAAAACAACCTTTCACAGCCACACCAAACTTCAGCTGCAATACTGATTCTTCAAGCTCAAGAATGAGTCTCAACCAGTGAAAAAACAGTTGGCAAGTTCAACACAATTTCGAGCAAATGACTGGTGCAAACATTGTATTCAACAGCTGCAAATACCATGCTCAATTTCTGTAGGTCCTGAAGTTATTTCTAGGCTGGTTCTACTGTGTACCAAGGGGTTTAAAAATTGCAGAAACTAATTTTCAAACTTGCAGCCAAACAAGAACTTGATAGCAGGCAGCTATGATAGTTTGCAGTTCAATCACAATAACAAACTTCAGCTCAATACTCAGAAGTCAAATGCCAATCGACTCTAATGCAGCAACAATGAATTAGGACTTCGTCAGCAGTAGAGAACCATCAAAATGCAACTCGTATTTCAGTTCTAAACAGGGGGAACAATGATAAAACTCAGTTCATACAAATTCAGAAGAGCATCCCAATTTCGTGTCGCCAACAGCTACTATCGACTAACAAAAAATGAATTCCACGACAGACCTAAACTGCAGTCACAAGTTCTTCAACATATCCTCAAAAAGCAGTCTATGATCGAACTCATATTTCACTACAAATTTAGAGACAAATTTCAGTTTGAACTCAAGGAATCGAACCTGATTCGTTGCGACGGTATCTCAGCTGCTCGAATCCAGTCGAATCAGTCCGCGAAGTTCTTCGAGCTCGGCTAAGAATTCAAACTCAAGCAATAATCAACAAGAAGCTCGAGTCGACTTATGAACTCAACTTAATCAATTCCAAAGAATAGCGATGAAGTTTCAGCTTTGAATTCAGAAGTCGAGCTAAGTTTTAATACTCAGAAATCAAAACTGTGCAATCTCAATGAAGAGCTGCTGAAATCAGCTACGCATCGATGTGTAGGGACGTCGCGTAGGCTAGAACTCAATCCCAGAATTTGAAGAACACAGCAGTAAGTTCTTCGACTGATTCAAGAAATTTTCAATCCAATCTCGTCCAAATCTTCACCAAACGAACTCAACCTTTGTATTCAACTTCCACTAAACAATCCGAGTAAACCCCAGTGACTAATTCGAACAAACATTCACGAAATCGACGAATCCTAGGTCGTCTTCTTATTCGCACAATCGGTTCAAATTTTCGAACCAAAAACCCCAGCGATTCAGCTTCAAACAATCTCAATTTTCAGATTTTCACCTCAATCAAGCTGTACCAACAGGATTTGAACACACCCCAATCGAATTCGAACTTGAATTTTGTTTTACTAAGAGCAAAACCCCCAAATCTGGTAGCACTGCTAGTCGGTTTAGGGTTCAAATCTCAACCCAAACTTCGAAATTCAGCTCAACTCGGTGATTCAATCTCAGGTAATGAAGTAAGTCAGAAGTTTCAGAATCAAAATCGACGGAGATGGAGCAAATTTTCGAATTTTCTATTTTGGAAACAAACAAAGAAGAACAAGGAAATACTATTTTCTATTTCTGAAACCCAAACAACGGATGAACAGTAACAATTACTATTTTTCGAATTTTATTTTTAATTTTTTGATTTGTTGATAATCAAATTTCAAAACAAAGACCCCAGTATCGATAAAACAATCCAAAACCTCTGCTGATACCAAGATGATACGGAATCGTAGCGAAAACATCAATAATGCAAAAATACACGAACTCAAAAAGATAGAAGATTAGGGTTTAAAATAGAGAAAGACTCAACTAACTATGAACTAGTTAAACCCTTGAATTTACTATGATAAACACTATTCGACGAAGAACACTAATGCGTGCAACCTCAAAATAATCTCATTCCTGAGCCTACGTCGATTAAGTGAAGGTGAAACTTTAACGTAAACGCGAGATGTAACAGTTCATGATGTAATACGCTTTTGTGATAGCATCAAGGACAATGATACGGTTTTGGAAGCTCCAAGAAGGACATTTACAAGATCTCAGGCTAAAGAATTGCGCACTAAGGTTGCTGGACCTCAATGGCAAATAAAAAAGCTTTTAATTGTAAAGGAAGAGCTCAAGCCTAAAGGAGATGAATTGTCCAAGTTTTACAATTATTTGGTGACCCAAATTAAAGTCCAAGAATAGGAAGATTGGGTCCCAACATCAGCCCTTGGAGTCCACCAAAAGGGCATCTAGAAGAGCTTAAAATGAGGTTAAAAGAGGTCCAAAAGGGGTTGTTTCAAAAGGAGCCCAATTGGAGTCTCAATCAATGGCCCAAATTAGTAGTTTTAAGGCCCAAATATGCCCCAAAGGGATTTGGCCGCCACCCTCTTATTTTATTGGGGTTTTGGCGCAGTTACCCACAAAAACAAAACTATTTACCCTTGTCTACCCATTTGTTTTTCTACCCATAAACTAATTACATTTCCTACCCATAGTAGTTTTTGTGGGGAATTTTTTCTTTATTCTCCAATTCTTTTTTATTTCTATGCTTTTTTTTTTCTTTTTTTCTTTTTTCTCGATTTCTTCTTCTTCTTTTTTTCCTTTTCTAATTTCATTTAACTTCTTTTTTTATATTCTTTTTCTTTTCATAATCTAATTTCATTTACTGTTTTCACTATTTTTTAATATTCTTTTTTTTATATTATTACTATAGAAAAATCAAATTGTGTACCAATTAAATGTAACTAATATAACCAAAAAATATTAATTAACATATGATACCAGTATAGTATATAACTATACCAACAGGATATACAATTGTGCGCAAATAGTTAAAAAAAAATTAATTCAATTACTAAACTGAAATAATATCAGTTGTCAGTAAAAATTTCAAAAATATATTTTATTTTATTTTGCATTTACAATTTACCCCTCACGCTAGGTAAAAGCTTAAAGCAAATTAAAAGGGAAAAGGCAAGTGAATTTACGTTTAATAAGTACACTATTATAGTATATTATATACTATTACATCATATTGTTACAGTATATTGCATATTATTATAGTATACTATAACAATATATTGTATACTATAATAGTATATTGTTGCAGTATAACTATATACTCCTATAATATATTGTATATTGTAGGTATACAGTTAGGTAATTATGTTCTTTTTCGATTTTACAACATACCGTTACAGTATATTGTAAATAATAATAGTATATTGTTGCAGTATAACTATATACTCCTACTTGTTGTTGAGATAAATCGTTCCAGGACTTCAAAGAAAGCATGTTCCCAGATGCCGACGTAATAATTACGACTTCACAAAGTAGCAATTGGGAGAAACTTAAGTTTTTCACCTCCACATGCATATAGGCTCTCAAGACTTTTCTGGAGCACTATCCTTGCATAATCCTCCAAGAAATTTCTTGTGTAGGGGACTCTCTGATCAGTCCAGCCTGGCAAAAGCGTCAGTCACTTTCAATGGCATAGTTTATAGTACATGCATAGCAGTGAAAATTTAAGCTATGATAGGAAATGTGCCTATGGCCATAGAAAGCAAGAAATTTTCTTTCATAAAACCTGAAACATCTGATGCAATAATGTGCCAATCAATGCTGCAGCTGAATACTCTGCCAGATTTTAACCTCTCATCCCGCACAGCTCGCCTTGAACAACTGAAACTGGAAGCAACCTAACAGAGTACTCAATGTTCAAGAACAATGGAGAAAGAAGAAGAAACAACTGATGGAAGCAAGACTTTGCAGAAGCTGGAACAGTGAAAGACAACATGTTGAGTAATCGAAACAAACAACTGAAAAATAATTGCACAGACATACCCTTGTTCCAGAGACTAAAATATCTGGATGAACAATGAGAAAATTCTTCTCGCGGTTTATTTCACATTTTCCTTCGCTGTCAAACTCACCAATGACATGAATAGTATCTTTGGTGCAACAACACTATAGCACCTGGAAAGCAAGTAAGTTCCTCATCATAATGTCTGTCAACAATTAGAATTACAAAGCTTAACAAGAGACGATCTCTGGTCTCTTCCACAGAAGGTTCATACAGATGATGAATTATAGTTTCTCACAACTGGAAGGTATTTTGATCAAATGAAGCAATGCAGAAAAGCGGCTGGGACTAAAACGTTGTCTGCTTTAGAATTTAGGATAAAGATGCCTTTGTAAACTCAAATGCAAAGACAAGAAAGACATAAAAGCTACGTCAACATCAAAAGACATGATGCAAGAAGAAGGGGGATAAAACTAGTGTTTGAAAGTCATCCGAGTGGCAGTGTCACTGTAATCTCTGTTTGTTTAGTTCACATGATAATCTCATTGGGTCCATGGCAGATCCAAAGAAGCAAATATTAGATATAAGTAACACAATGCACATTGAGATTGTTGTTCTGCATGACTAAATATCATCACAACTGAACTGTCGGTTGGGAAGATGATTTAAGAGTAGCAAAAGTATTCGTGTTCGAGTAACAAGTCATTGTGAACAGGAAAGCCCATCCCCCATGTTGTCTACATTTTACTATAACAGAAATAGAGGAAACTATTCAAGAGTATTGGTCCTCTTTAACGAAATAGCTTGATTGTGAATCTGTGTTTTTAAGTATATTTAGCAGATTGATAATAGATGAAATAACAGAGATTCAACTCATTACCACTCATCCCTCAATTGCAAAACCCGCTCTTCTCCACTTTGTTCATTCAGTATGCGCAAAACCTGAAAGTCATCGTCATGTTGTCTAAAGTCATCGTTCATTCTCCACTTCTCCACTTTGTTCATTCAGTAACAAGTCATTGTGAACAGGAAAGCCCATCCCCCATGTTGTCTACATTCTACTATAACAGAAATAGAGGAAACTATTCAAGAGTATTAGTCCTCTTTAACGAAATAGCTTGATTGTGAATCTGTGTTTTTAAGTATATTTAGCAGATTGATAATAGATGAAATAACAGAGATTCAACTCATTACCACTCATCCCTCAATTGCAAAACCCGCTCTTCTCCACTTTGTTCATTCAGTATGCGCAAAACCTGAAAGTCATCGTCATGTTGTCTAAAGTCATCGTTCATTCTCCACTTCTCCACTTTGTTCATTCAGTAACAAGTCATTGTGAACAGGAAAGCCCATCCCCCATGTTGTCTACATTTTACTATAACAGAAATAGAGGAAACTATTCAAGAGTATTGGTCCTCTTTAACGAAATAGCTTGATTGTGAATCTGTGTTTTTAAGTATATTTAGCAGATTGATAATAGATGAAATAACAGAGATTCAACTCATTACCACTCATCCCTCAATTGCAAAACCCGCTCTTCTCCACTTTGTTCATTCAGTATGCGCAAAACCTGAAAGTCATCGTCATGTTGTCTAAAGTCATCGTTCATTCTCCACTTCTCCACTTTGTTCATTCAGTAACAAGTCATTGTGAACAGGAAAGCCCATCCCCCATGTTGTCTACATTCTACTATAACAGAAATAGAGGAAACTATTCAAGAGTATTAGTCCTCTTTAACGAAATAGCTTGATTGTGAATCTGTGTTTTTAAGTATATTTAGCAGATTGATAATAGATGAAATAACAGAGATTCAACTCATTACCACTCATCCCTCAATTGCAAAACCCGCTCTTCTCCACTTTGTTCATTCAGTATGCGCAAAACCTGAAAGTCATCGTCAGGATAGGTTTTCTTAGTCTTATTCTTATTCTAGTTTAATTAGGATTAATTTTCCTTAACCTTACTAATTTTACTCATAGTAAGGCCTATTTAAAGGACTTAATATGCTGAGAATAAACATCGGTGATTAGTTTTTCTAAACTATTGCTTCAAAAACGTGATTTACTTTTTATTTCATTATTCTTCCTTTATTAACGCTTCTTGCAATCTTGCGGGATTGAAGAACGTGTGGGTGAGGTTTCTTTTCATCTTACATTCTTCTAACGTGAGTTTGAAGAACGCTTTCGCTTGTTTTGTGAAAAACTTTAGCGGGGTGCTTTTGTTTTTCTCCCTTCTTTGTATTTGAGAGGTGCAAAACCTAGAAAGTACATCAATTTGGTATCAGAGCTCAAGTTCCAGGTCCGAATTTTTAAATTGTTATCTTGTTCATCATGTCTCTAGACAAGAAAATAACAAGCTCGGGATCTTCTTCACTTGATGAACAATTTGAGATAGAAAGATTAAGAACTACAGCCCTTGAAAGAGACAACGAAGAAATTAACGTGCAACTAGATGGCTTAAAGTGCAACTAGATGACTTAAGGAAATCAATGCAGAATCTGACTAGATTGGTTGAAGGCTTAGCGATTCAAGATCAGCCACCAAATCTTCCACAACGCCTACAACCTCCACCGCCACCAAGACACAACATACCCGTGCTACATATACAACTTTTATACAAAAATGTAATACGATTATCATGCATGTATAATTTCATTTATATTTACATGTATATATATCTTTATATATTGTATAATTGCGTATATGCAATAATCAATAAAAAATTATACTACAAATACCATCTAGTCATCCCATTAAACCCAAAACCCACTGCTGATACCCACTTCAAAAGATCTTCACTCACAAAATATATTATGATCTAAAGAAGAAGAAGAATAGAAAAGAAGAAATCACTTGTATAAAAAAGAATAACTTGCTGAGCTATCATAACGTCTTATATCCTTAAAGAAATTTTCCTAACCACCAATAAAAACCATCAGAAATCAAAAGCTTGACTAGAAAATGTTGCGACTTCTACTGCCACTCTAGTATCATACATCGTAACGTTGGGCAAGTAAATCCTTTTAAAAATTGAATTAAAAATTTTGTGATTTTTCTAGATTTTCAAACCATTGACAGTAGTTTGAGAAGAAGATGATATACAAACATACAATTTTCATACAATATATAAATTGATTATACACTCATGATACACAAACACATTCTGGATATACTCAATATACATTTTAAATATTAATATATATTAAGAATACATTTTCAAAACTTAGGATACAATGTATATACATTTTTATACGTTACATAACAATATATATACAACTTTATACAAAAATATAATATAATTATCTTGCATGTATAACTTTATACGTGATCTTTTTCCAAGTAAAAGCGATACGTATACAATTTTTATATATTTATATAAATAGAATATACACTCATGATATACAGACACACCCAGGATATACTTAATATACACTTTGGGTATAAGAATATACTCAGCATACAATTAATATACACTAAGAATACATTGCCAAACTTAGGATACAATATATATATATATAAGTTTTATACATCGCATAACTATACATATACAACTTTTATACAAAAATATAATACAATTATCATGCATGTATAACTTCATTTATATTTACATGTATATATCTTTATATATATTGTATAATTGCGTATATGGAATATTCAATAAAAAATTATAATACAAATACCATCTAGTCACCCCATTAAACCCAAAACCCACTGCTGATACCCACTTCAAAAGATCTTCACTCACAAATACATTATGATCTAAAGATGAAGAAGAAGAAGAAGAAGAAGAAGAGAAAAGAAGAAATCACCTGTATAAAAAAGAATAACTAGCTGGGCTATCACAAAGTCTTATATCCTTAAAGAAATTTTCCTAACCACCAATAAAACACCATCAGAAATCAAAAGCTTGACTTGAAAATCTTGCGACTTATAGTGCCACTCTAGTATCATGCATCGTAACGTTGGGTGAGTAAATCCTTTTAAAAATTGAATTAAAAAATTTGTGATTTTTCTAGATTCTAAAACCGATAATAGTAGTTTGAGAAGAACCATGATATACAAACATACAATTTTTATACAATATATAAATTGATTGTACACTCATGATGCACAAACACACTATGGATAAACTCACTATACACTTTAAATACATGAATACACTCAGGATATACATAATATATATTAAGAATACATTTTCAAAACTTAGGATACGATGTATATACATTTTTATACATTACATAACAATATATATACAACTTTTATACAAAAATATAATATAGTTATCTTGCATGTATAACTTTATACGTGATCTTTTTTCCAAGTAAAAGCGATATGTATACAATCTTTATATATTATATAAATAAACTATACACTCATGATATACAGACACACCCAGGATACACTTAATAATATACACTTTGGATATAAAAATATACTCAGCATACACTTAATATACACTAAGAATACATTGCCTACTTAGGATACAATATATATAGAAGTTTTATACATCGCATAACAATACATATACAACTTTTATACAAAAATGTAATACAATTATCATGCATGTATAACTTCATTTATATTTACACATATATATATCTTTATATATTGTATAATTGCGTTTATGCAATATTTAATAAAAAATTGTACTACAAATACCATCTAGTCACCCCATAAACCCAAACCCCACTACTGATACCAACTTCAAAAGATCTCCCCTCGCAAAATACATTATGATCTAAAGAAGAAGAAGAAGAAGAAGAAGAGGAGAAAAGAAGAAATCACCTGTATAAAAAAGTATAATTTGTTGAGCATAATAAAGTCTTATATCCTTAAAGAAATTTACCCAACTACCAATAAAACACCATCAGAAATCAAAATCTTGACTAGGAAATCTTGCGACTTCTACTGCCACTCTAGTATCATGCACCGTAACGTTGGTCGAGTAAATCCTCGTGAACATTGAATTAAAATTTTTGTGATTTTTCTAGATTCTCAAACCGATGAATTAAAATTTTTGTGATTGCTCCCATGCATTTTTGCTTTCTACGTGTTTCACAACGCTCAATCAGCCTCAACATATCTTTGTTCAATTTAGGCTAGTAGAAGTTTTCTTGAATCATCTTCAATGTTTTAGAATGGCCAAAATGACCAGCTTATCCACCCTCGTGTGCTTCCCTCACAATGGACTCACTTAAAGAGCTTTGTGGACCCTCCAAGCCTCTCTTCCAAACATCTCCAAAGTCTGGATTAGCTTCATAACGCTCCTTCATATGGTTGAATCCAAATACATTAGTTTGCATCATAGAAAGCAAACATGGTCTTCTACTAAGAGCATCAACCACTTGATTGAGGTTTCCCGCTTTTGTGTTTGATTACGAACTGAAAATTCTGAAGAAACTCTGCCTATTTTGCATACCTTGGGTTGAGCTTTTGTTGGTGACTAAGATACTTTAGTACCTCATGATCAGAATATAACACGAACTCACTTGGTAATAAATAATGACTCCAAGTTGCAACACGCGAAGCATAGAACTCTTTTTCATAGGTGGAGTACTTCAATATAGGTCCACTTAGCTTCTCGCTACAATTAGACACGGGTTTACCTTCGTGGCTAAGAACTCCTCCAACGCCAACACCTGACGCATCACATTCTACTTCAAATAAAACATCGAAGTTAGGTAACTGAAGGATAGGAGCTTGTGTCATTTTCTTTTTTAACAATTCAAAACCCTTTTGAGCTTCTTCATTCCACTTGAACATTCCTCCTTTCAAACACTCAATTATAGGGGCAACCAAAGTGATGAAATTTTTGATAAATCGTCGATAGAAGGACACCACTCCATGAAAGCTCCTTATATCCGAAATCGACTTAGGAATTGGCCAACTTATGATTGCCTCGATCTTGCTTGGGTCAGCTTGAATACTAGCACTAGTTACTATGCAACCTAGAAAGCTAACACTTTTAGTATAAAAGATGCTCTTCTTGAGTTGTGCAAATAGCTTCTCTCTCCTTAAGGTTTCAAAAACCTTCTCCAATGCATTCCATGTTAAGCTTTCTCTTTGCATAGATTAGTATATTGTCAAAGTAGACAACAACAAACTTCTCAATGAATGGTCTTAACACATGAGTCAAAAGCCTCATGAATATGCTCGGAGCATTTGACAAACCAAAAGGCATTATCAATCATTCATACAAGCCTTGGCTAGTCTTGAAGGCAGTTCATCACCTTTCCTCTTACGAATCTGGTGGTACCCACTCTTCAAATCAAGACGTCATTAGCGTATCAGACATGGTCTTTGCCTTTTTTGAAAGTTCTTTAGGGTACAATGGCGTCAAAACGATCTTACGTCCATCAATTATAAATGAATAGGTGTTACGGTATCCATCATGAAAAGTACGCTAAATAGGTCTTCCAAGTAATAAATGGCAAGCATCCATCTTTACCACATCACACCAAATTTGGTCTTTATAGTACCAATAGAAAAAGAGACCAAGCATCTTTTAGTGACTTTCATACCTCCACCATATTGCAGCCACCCGACTTTGTAAGGTTTGGGGTGTACCTCTGTCTCCAAACCTAATATAGTCAGCATCTCTTCCGAAACAACATTAGTGCAACTTCCCGCATCGGTAATCACTGAACATACATTGCCATGTGATGTACACCTCGATTGGGTTTCTTTATGATTGGAATCATCTTCTTCGTCACCCAACATAAAAGCCTTTCGGTTGGGACAATTAGCTTGCACATGCCCAAAATTTTGGCACTTAAAACATCTTCTCTTAGTCATATCCCCTTGAGGATTCTTTTCATCACAATTTGAAGATGAATTAGAACAATTACATATATAATTGGCTTTGGGATTTCAACCACTACCACTAATCGTACTCCCCTGGTTGGGGTAATTCTTCTATGAGTATAATTCCTTTGGCTCCTTTTTTTTTTTGTTGTTCG